AATTCTGGGATAAGCCTGGCAGGCCAGTCTCCCATGTCCACCACTAGTTGTGACTACTGATGGCAAGTTCCTGCTCCTCAGACTCCTCTCCCCTCTGCCTCCCAGCGGCTTGGCTGAAGGTCCCCTCCTCTTGTCTCCTGCTCCTGCACCGTTTTGTGGGGAGCTTACCAGAGTGGTACAGTTTGGGTGGGGAAATGCTCACGTGCTTTATGCCCCTCATATTTTGGGTAAGGAAAGTGAGGCCCCACAGGGGTCTGTCCCACAGTGTGTTGCTGACGCAGTGCGACTAGAAACCACCACTGGCTGGTCTCCACCTCCTGTCCCAGCAGTGGCTGCCCTGCTCTCTTCCCTCCCTCAGGACCAGGGATGGGTGGGGCTCAGGCACAGCCCCTCCAGCCCCTCCCATCCCCCTTCAACAGGGTGCTGGTAGTAGCTGGGACCTCATCTGCTTCTTTTATTTTGAATGTATGGGGGCTTGGGAGGTGATTTTTGGTGAGAATGGTTCTAATAAAACAGAAATGCAGTTGAATTCACTTCCAAAAACGTTAACCCTTGTTTATCCGGCAGTGTTCACTTGCAAAGGAGGACTGGTTTCTCATCTTGTCTCCTTTCACTAGATGGGGTGAGTGGCTGGGGCGGCATTAGCTGGCCACGTTTTCTCACTGAAGGTGAGGAAACCGAGGAAGCGACAGCGAGAGCAGCAAGAGCACATGCTGATTACCGACAGCCCAGGCATCTGGTGTCATGTCTGTGTAAAGTAAGCTGTTCAGTAAGTGTTTGTTAAGGGAATTGTTAAATAAATGAGCAATAAAAATCGCTAAGCAAAGCATTTACTATTTATTGCTTGCTCAGAGTGATTACCCTGATTAACTGGAGTGACTCATTCCTTCCTCATAAACATCCTGTTATTATCCCCATTTTAGAGATGAGAAACATGAGGCACAGAGAGGTTAAGTAATGTCCCAAGGCCACACAGTAATCAGTGGTAGAGCTAGGATTTGAGTCCAGCCACTTAGGCTCCAGAATCCGTGCTCCTGGCCACCTTGCTACATCCGGTAAAGCCTAGAGCAGCATTTTCTTTGGAACTTGCTGTGATGCTGGGGATGTTCTGTGCCCATGTGGCCCAAGGTAGCAGCCACCAGCCCCAGGAGGCCACTGGGCTCTTAACATGTGGCTGGCATGACTAAAGAACTGCCCACTGTGCAGGCAAGGCAGCCAGTCCTGTATCTAGTGCTGGATTCTGAGGGTTCTGAATGGTGGCTGAATGAACAGCCCGGAGTCTTAAGACTGAAGAGACTCATGCCTCAGAGGCCAGACTGCCCAGCTGCCTCATTAAGAAGAAAACAAGACGGAGGGACATAAAGGAGAGAGGAAAGGGATGCACCAGGTGGGGAGGATCAGCAGAACCGGCCCCTGATCTCAAGTGTGGTCCACCTCTAACACCCAAGGCCATGACTTCTCAGGTCTGCTCTCTCGGCTCCCTCTAGACTTCTGTCCTTCATGGGGCAAAAATAACAGCTCATACTCCCTACCTACAAGGAGAGAGAAACCCTACTGAGAGCTCTAACACTGAGCTGCAGGACCCACAGCCCAGTGGGCAAGGTGTATATCCAAATCCAATCAACTCTTAGTAACCCAGACTGAGGCTCTCCATTTTTGGGCTTGTCAGTGGCAGAGCCCTAATCCCTCCCAGGCACTTGGCTCGGAGGCTGGTGGCCCTGCTGTCAGCTGCTGTGCACAGGGAGTGCAGACTCATTTTAATATTGGCTGGAGCTAAACCTCATTAGAAAAGTAAATTTGCTGTGGCTGCAAAAAAAAAAAAAAAAAGCAACCCACACAACCCTTCCAAAGCTAAATAGAAAACCTTGATTTTGGATTATTTGATGTTTTGTGTTCCTGGAGCTGCCCCAGAGCTTGGAGCACAGTAGGTGCTCGGTCAGTGCCTGTGTGACCTCTTGATCTCTGTCCATCTCAACATCTTTCAGCGAGGATAAGAGACCACAGATCTGGAGCCCTTGCAAGTTGCATGAAGTTTTTTAGACAAACATCGGCTAATAATTACATACACCACTAGTTAGACAGGAAAACGTTGTTGTTGCTGTTGTTCAGGGGACACTGAGAGTGTCACTGTGACAGAGGCACACCCTAGGTGGGTCTCAGGGAGGACAAGTATGGAGGTGGGGCGGATCAGATGGGTGGGTGTGTGGGAGAGGGAGTGCCTGAGACGACTCCAAGGTGATGGGCTGGCCAGGGAACTGCACCTCTAAATTCTAGAGCCATCCAGATCTTGGAGGGGTGTGGGGGCGTACAGAAAATAAAGACATTAAATTAACATTCATCTAGCCCTTCACATAAAACAGCCTGGTGAGAATAGGCTTCCTCAATTTCCAGGCTATAGAAAACCAGGACTCAGAGGGCTCCGTTTTTCACAAAGTCCCCCCAGCTGGTCTTTGAAGGAGCTGAGGCAGGACCCTGACCTGGCTGCAAGCCTGGGCTGTGCACTGCACTCTCCCCTGAACCCTGATGCTCTGCAGCAGGGCCCCCAAAGCTCTTCTTGCCTGGAGGCCTAGGGGATGCATGAAGGAGAGTTTTCTTTTTCCTTCTCCCCAAATGCTATGTCTCTCCAGATTCCATAGCCTTTCTCATCCCACCGTGTCCCAGGAGCAGGAGGGGAGATGGGGCAGGGGCTGGGGCTTGGGGGCCCTTAGCCATGCGAGATGATCCCGGGTTTCATCCCTCACAGCTAGTCCCCCTCCTGCCTTCACACCTCCCTTGACACTACTCTGGAATTCGTCAAAACCACAGAAAGAGCTTTTCTTAGGAGACTGATCGCTCTACCCAGAGGCCTCCCTGACCCGGTGGATGACCACTGATAACGAGGGCGATCCGGGCCAGCCAGACTTGTCTGCCTTTGGGCCTCCCTCTATTCTGTTGTTCTATGAGCACGCCTCTGTGTCTTTTGTCTGTTGCCTCACGCTGGCTCCTCTGCCTCAGACTCTCTCCGATTCTTGATTCTTTCTTTTCCTCAGCCCTACGTCTCTTTTCCCCAGGTTCCCAGCAGAGGGGAGTTCTTGGGCATCTCCGTGCCAAACTAAACCAGCGTCCTAGAGCCTGCCTCCCTGGCTCTAGACCTAGACAATGCAGAGCTTGCTCTCTGCATTTTTCACACTTGCAAAGCTCCCAACCTGCCCCATAACCTGTGCTCCACAACCAGGAGAAGCCAGCTAACAGGGTCCCCTCAGCGCTCAAACACTGCTGTGGGACACCCAGCTCTGAGCAGGTGCCTGAGGCAGGGAATGGGGCTGGCCCCATGGCCATCCTTCTCTGGAGCCCTTGGTCTCTGATACAGGTGCCAGTCTTGTCACTGGAACTGATCCATTTCAGTGGTTTACCTGCAGCAGACTGGTTAGTACCTGTTCACCCAGAAACCTACAAGAATATTTTCAACCTAGCACGCATGAACTTCCAACATGCCTGAACATGAAGTGGTCCCCCGGCCTCTACAGGCCAGGGACAGAAATGGGCATTGCAAGCCACTTGGCTGCTGGGCTGAATGAGGCACAATCCCACTAACCCTCCCTGTTCCATTAGCCCTAGTAAGGCGTCTTGCTGCCACCTAAACAGGTAGAAAGAAATGTCATGCAGCTCAGGAACCTTTGGGAGTGCCAGGCATGTACAGGACAGAGTGGATAGTCTCTTTGCAGGTTTCGTGGGGAAGGGTCTACTCACTACGAAGGAAGTGGGGACTTGATGTAAGTCCAGCACAGCCAATGGTCACCACAAAGCAGGTTCTGGGAGGGGATGTCTCTGCCTCTGTGCGGGCTATTGGCAGAAGTGGGGAGACAGGAGGCACAGAAGACAAATCTCAGAAAACCCAGCAACTCAGGAAGCTGTGTGCTGCCTGTCCCCACACTCAAACACCAGCGACTTCGAAATGCTCTCTGCATGGGGACATCCCCACCCAGCCAGCCCTCCCACACAGTGCTCACCACACAGCCCAAGTTCCAGGTCCCAGTGGGCACTCCACCCAGCCTGGGGCTCATGTGGGGAGAGCTGCCACCACCAGCACGGTCCAGGCCACCTTCAGACTCCTGTGCTGAGAAACCCTCCAAGTCCCTCAGCCCCAGCTTCTACAAGAATCCATCTGAGTGGTGTGCAAGGCTGAGTCTAGGCTAGGGCAGGGGAGGAAGGGGAAGGGGAGGCTAGTCAAGACCTTGTTTATGTGTTTGTCTGTGTGTGTGTTGGGGGTGGTGGTTCTTGACCTTAGCTGCTTGGCACCAGGCTGTTATCTCCTTTCCCCCGCACTATTAGATACTGTGGCTTCCTTCTCCTCATCTGCCTCACCTCTCTGCTTCCGTTTTGGAAGTACACTCTGGCTTTGGAGAAATCAGGACCTCAGGTCTGAGCCCAGACACAGAGGAGTAGGTGGCAAACTTGCTCATGCCTTCTTGCTATACTGAAGGTCCCAAGGACCCTTTGCTACCCTTGCTACCTCTTAGCCCCTTGAGCTCTCCAGCAGAGCTGCAGAGCTGCAGAGCTTGGGTCCCCTGAGGAGTTCACCTGACAGTGTCTGGCCTCCGAGTGGTTGGAGATGACTGCTAGGGAGCAGGGGTGCAGTGGGGATGCTAGCCCTGACTCATCTGGGCCACCAGGAACCACCTGCTGAGTGGAAAGGGACAAGAGAGCTGAGAGTCTGGACCAGATGTTAGAAGCTACTGAGAACCAGCTCTTCCGTTGATGCTGGACTGAGGAGGGCAGGCATCGCCCAGATTTTGTTCAGAAGCCCCTGCGCGGCGGGCAGCGGCTCCCAGCCCCGGCCTTTCCAGCCCCCTTTCCAGCTGTCTCTGCTGCTTGCACAACCACACAACCACACACACACTCACACACACAGGCGCGCGCGCGCGTTCCCGGGAGGACATGGCGTGGGTACTGATGGGGATGCATAAAGAGGCTCTGTGCGCTGCTGCAGAGCCCGCGGGGGCCGCGGGGGGGTCACTGACCTGAGGCTGTGAGTCCCGATCGTCCCCGGCGAGGTTCATTCGGGCGGCGGCCCCTACACCCCGGCCCCGGGGCCCCCAGGTTGCTGCCCCGGGCCGCTTGCACCTCCCTCCCCGGGGGATCTCGGGCTCCGAGACCCGGAGGGACACTTCATAGCCGCGGGATACGAGCGCCCGCACGCCTGCCGGCCCGGTCCGGCTACCGGGCCCGGCTCCTCCTAGGCTCAGCGAGGCGGCGGACGGAGCCTGGGAGCGCGCGGGAGGCGCGGGGAGGACCGTGGGGGGCGGGGACCGGGAGGGGAGGCACTGGGAGGAAGGCACAGAGGGCCGGGACGCGCAGCCAGAGCCGAGCGGACCGGGCCGGCTCCGAGTCCCCTTGGCGGCCGCGGCTGCGCCGGTGCGGTCGAGGCTCTAACAGAGCCTCCTGCCCCGCCCCCACCCCCACCCCCACTCCCCGCCCCCGAGCGAGCGCAAGCTGCCGGCGGGACCCACTGCTAATGGTCGGTACCAACCTCGCCAGCTAGGGCGGGGGGCGCGAGCAGGGAGGCCCAAGAGGACCCTCCCCCTGGGATTGGTAGCACCTCCCTTCTCACCCCACAACACCCTTCCCAGAGGAGGCGGCTCCAGCTTTAGGCGAAGAAACAGGGGCTTCGGCGGGGGTCGAATGAGCCAGGAGGAGAACGCAGCCGGGGCCTCGGCTCTCGAGAGTTAAAGCTGGCCCGGCCCGCTGCCTGCACCCTCATCCCACCCCGCCTCCATCCTGGCTGCTCCTGGCGCCCAGCTTGGCAGCCTTTCCTCAAAGGGTGATTGTTTCCGGGCTGGGTAGCTGGGGGCGGTTCTCTGGGACCGAGACGCAGAGCTGAGGAGCAGGAGGGTGCAGCGCCCTCCGTGGCTTCAGGCACCCCGCAGTGGGAGGTGGCTGATGAGGGCGCGCGTGGCACCTGCCAGGATGCAGGGGTAACTGGGTGGGGTGGGCATGGGGCACTTAGGCTCTGGCCTGTCCTGGCAGCCCCACCTGTACACACTACTGTCTTGCCAAGGGCATGTCAACCTGCCACGTGCCAGCCTCAGCCCACTCACACAGTGCCCTGGACCTTCCCACAAGAAGGCAGGAAGGAGAAGCGTGGGGTGGAGAGGGAGCTGAAAGGGGACAATGGAGGAGCAGAGATGGAGCAAAAGGGTTCTGCTTGTCTCCTGCCTGTGTGTGTTGGGTGGGCTGGGGGCTGTGTGACCAGTGAGTTTGTATGTGTCCACATGTGTGTGCATATAGTTATGTATGAGGTGCCAAGGTAGCCATGAAATGCTCTTTCGTCAAGTTGCCAGAGACTTAGAAGCTATTCTCATAAATGTTTTAAGGGTTTGCACACCCTAGCTGACCTTCCTCCTGGACACCTGTACTTAGAGCCACCTTGTGCCCTCTTCACAGTCAGAGAGGGCTGGCTCCTGTTGCTGGAGTTCTGGACCCAGCTGTCCTGGAGGACGCATCTAAGTGTTTTCCAGTAGCTGGGAGTATTGCACAAGGTCTGATGCTTCCTTCCTTCACCCCATGACTGAGGAATCAGCACTGCACTTCTAGGCGACGTGTTTCTATGTGCTGTGGGCTGATGCTGGGAACCACAGGACCCTTTTCCTGTCATCTGCCCTGGTCGGTACCAAGCCAGGCCTTGCTCCTTCCAGTGAGTAGCTGAATGTGTGTGTGGGGTGAAGGATAGAGGAGGGGTTGGGGTCAGGGCAGTGGCTTTAGAATCAGCCATTTTGGCAAAGACCTTAGGTAAGGAAGAAGCTCCATCATCCACACCATCCCACAGATATTTGACAATATAGGTAATTCATAATTACTGCCTCTAGGGACAGCTGTCCTTCCCTCTCACTACCTCTTTGGGTTCCTGTGTTTAATAGCCCTTGCTGCTGCTAAGGAAGTTCTTCCAAATCTGACCTGAGTCCCTCCTGCTACAGTGCAGGACCATTTCCTCATTCTCCTCGCACAGCAGGAATCACAGCAAGCCCTCCTTTGCCTTTTTCTTCCCCTGCTGAGATAACCATTGCCACTTTAAACTCTGCTAAGAGGACCTTTCCTGAGACCATGTTTCCTCCAAATTCTGATTCCCAGTAGGACTCTGTGCCACTGGGAGGGAGGGGAAGGACAGGTGCAGGAGCAGGAAAGAGTAGGGAACAGATCACAAAGGAAGGACATGGCCATTAGTTTGCATGGCATACAAACTGTCTCTCCAGCTGCATCCAGTCTTAGTCAAAAGTCACCAAATAGTAGGGCAGCAATGGCCTTGAAGAGTTTCTAGTTGCAGCCCTTCATTTCACAAACAAGGAAGCTGTGGCCCACCGAGTGCCCATCAGCAGTGTGTGGGGTATGTGTGTAAGAGATCTCATGCATGTCTTTGTTAGTTCCCCTAGGGCAGAGCATGGCCCCAAGCGGGGAGCTCAGGGAGGAAGACAAGGCGAGGCCTGGGGTTCCGGCGAATTCTGAAGACACTATTTCCATCACAGCCAGTCTCCTCAGTAGTAATAAAACCAGAGGTTGGACCCAACAGTCTGGTCCTATCCAGTCCTGATAGGCTGTGCCCAGTTGGACCCTCTCTGTAGGTGTCCTCGGGGGCTCTCCCTTTAGCCCATGGGAAGCTAACCAGATGGAACAGGATGCTTGACAAGTTTTACCGCTAACCTTCTTGTAAGAACAATATGATAATAAACCCCTTCCTAGGGTCCCAGCTTGCAATTTAGCTCCAGGCTCTGTTTACACAATTTTGTAATATTAATTTTTAGAGCTAACTTAAAACAATATCGTGGGATTAAAATTAGCACAATAAGGCTCAATGAAGAGAGAACACCCTGCCATTAGTGTTAGTGGGAAGCTTTGGCAACACCCCAAGTGTGTAAACACACACAAGTACACAAACAGCTATGTAGTCACAAAGCATGCACTCAGAGGCAGGCACACAGGCAAACACATGCAGTTATACCCTTCTACACTTTGCATGCACATATGCGTACCTGTGCCCACCTACACACACACAGAGGTACATGCAAGCACACCCCAGTCCCTCCCCAGGTGGTTGGCCATGACTACCTCCTTCCCACCTCTTTTCTTCCACCTTCCTGTTGACCTCTCCAGCTCTGTGGAAATTCTTTCCTTCACATTCTGGATTTAGTGCATCCCATGGCTTAGTCCCTGCTCTGACATCTGAAACAGCCCTGGGTTCCCCTGAATGACTGATCTCTCCCTCCTCTCTCTTTCTCTGACAGAAGTGAGCCCCTTTTTTCAGAGGCCCCCAAAGCCTAGCACTGAAATGTTTAGTATGCAAGGAGTACTGTCCTCTGGGACAAGCTGTTATGTGTTTATTGAGTAGTTAAGCAGGACAGGAGCCCTGCCCCCAGTCTGGTCCTGGACCAGCTCCTACAATCTGATTCCCAGTAGGTCCCATGAAAGCATCATCTGCAATGCAAAGCCCACAAAACATCTGGGAGGGGCTACAGGGATTTTTTTCCCAAATCACCAGGTGCCCTAATTTAATATGAATAACTATTAGTTTACCCTTATCAGTTAATTGTTCCCCTTGTGGGCTCCCCCTACCTCTGCTGCTCTGCAGCAAGAGCTTTGGTCTGCTTCTGATTTGCAATGATGCTTCCTTTCCTGACCAACCCTTACTTCTCAGCTCACCACCTAGAGAGGTGACCCAGACCTTAGTGAGCTGCTCCCTGCCTGTCTGGGACCCACTGCCTTTTGTACCCAATCACTGGAGCCATCACCCAGAATGCGCGGCAGTTTCTGTTGATGTGAGTGAGTGCACATGACCAAGGAGATGCCCTCCCCACACACAGCACATGGGCTCCTCTCTGCCCAGAGTGGCAGAAGTGAGAAGAGGAAGGACAAGCGGGTGAGTGCCCGAGGGTCCAGCCTTGCAGTGTTGGGTGGGCACCCAGGAAATTGTCCCACAGTGGCTCTCACTGGATGCATGTGCCTATGTTGTTTGGGGGGAGGGTGTTCAGCTCATGGTTCCTTCATGAGGAGGTCTCTGGTCAGAGCTTTGGATCTCAAACATTCTTGTTTCTCCAAAACACCTGCAGCTCCCCTTCTGTCTCCCTCCATCCCTCCTCACTCAGCAGGGCCAGAATTCTGCCTGAGCTGCAGGAGGAAGGTTGACCCTGCCCCTCCAATCTCTGCAGCCACAGGAAGGGCTCAGTTGCATTGCTTTACACTGTGTAAGTGACATAATTTTTGTTCTACTTTGTTTTTCCTGTGGCTGAGAGAAACAGGAGAGGCCGAGAGCAGAGCCTTGTGACTTGAGGAGCGCCTCTCTGAGGCAAGCTGGCACTAGTCTCTGTCTTCTTGGGGGAGTGAAAACAACCCAGATTGCTCCTTGAGCTCCCCAACTACTCTTCAACTACTCCCTAAGTACTCCCTGGAACCCATTCTTCCCGAGGCCCTACAAAGCCCCTTACAACCTGGGCTTGGGTCAGTCGCAGAGCAAATCCTAGGGGATCCCTCAGTCTAGACTCTGCTCTGGCTTTATTGCCCTCTTCCTGTGGCCCTTCCTGACCCCCAGGCAGCTCAGGAAGTGCACTGCCCTTCCTCAGTCCCAGCACATTTTCACTGGGTTTCTCTGGAGGCTAATATTCATGCGTGTGTGCTTTTATTTGTATGTCTAGTATTATATGCCTGCTGTTATATGACGGGCACTGTGCTAGGCAGCAGAGAGAGAGCAGGAAAATAGTGATCCACACATATGGCAGTAAATAACAGCAATCAGAAAATCTAACTCCGATCAGGCCCTTTGTGTTCTAAGTCTTCATGTGCATTAACTAATTTCATGACATACGGTATTATTTATCAGGTACCATTTATGATAAGGTTCCATTTTATAGGTCAGGAATCTGGAGCATAGTATTTAGGTAATTCAGTCAAGGCCACGGGTCCAATAAGTGACAAAGTAGGCATTTTATGCAGACAATCTAGTTCTAGAACTCATGCTGTTCATGAGTCTACCTTAGAGGCTTATGTGCTAGTGGGTGTAACAGGCAAGCAAACAAACAGCATAAACACAGATGTGGATGAGAAATTGAAGGAAGGCACCAGGGTGAAGAGCTAGGGAGAATCCTGGGAGGGACTATTTACAGGAGGGGTTTAGGGAGAGCCTGTGTCAGGAGGTCACAGGTGAGCTGCATCCTGCAGGATGAGGAGGGCCAGCTGCATGCAGAGTTGCAGGACAGGAGCCCAGACTGAGGGAGCCCCAGTAGGTGAAGCAGGGGAGTAGCCAAGGGCTCTGTGTATTTGAGAAACAAAAATGAGACCCATGAGGCAGGAGGGTGGAAAGCAGGAGGGTGTCCTTACAGAGTGGTGTGAAGTGAGAGGAGCATT